CGCATCACCATCCACAACCACCCAGCACCACCCAACCATCAAAGGCCGCCCCATCACCGCCTAGCACTACTCGGTACCCGAGAACGCTTCTTCGTGACATCACCACTATTGTGCTGGTAAATGTTCTTCAACTTTTCTTGATCTCTTGAATGGTTGTTGCTTGATTTGGTTGTGCTTATATTGCGTGAACAATAGTTGGTTTTATTCAATTTGTGCACACATTTTGTTGCATTGATCAATTAAAGTTGAATAGATCTTTTTTCTTATGTGGTTCCTTTAGGAACATTTCTCTGTAAATCTGGTAGTTTGGTTCTTCTTCATAGGAAGAGTGGTTAAATGGGTTTAGAATGATTGGTGAAGAAAAGGTTTTGAACCATCAGATTTAAGTGTANTGAATACATCTTTTTTCTTCTATGGTTCCTTTAGGAACATTTCTCTGTAACTCTGGTAGTTTGGTTCTTCTTCATAGGAAGAGTGGTTAAATGGNCAGATTTAAGTGTAATTTTTCATAGGCTTGAACATATAGTTATATTGGAGTGTAATTTTCATATTTAAGTGTAATTTTCTGCTGGTGGTGGTGATATTGTTATATTGGAGTTAATAATTTTTTTTTTTGGTGTAAAACCAACCGTTGTCAGGTGATCCACACACTTCTTACTGTATTCATTGGTAGATTTAGTCATCTCTAATCCCCATACGAAGCACGTCAGATTTAGTTATTAAACACGTCAGTTGTACTGACGTTTTTAAGGTTCTTGGAATCTCTTGTTCAAGCTTAAAGACGTCATTTGGACTGACGTTTTTAGGCTAAAAATGTTAGATCAACTGACGTCTTTAAGCCTAAAAATATCAGATCAATTGACATTTTTAAAAGTACTTGGATTTAGGAATTATTTTCAAACTAACCCTTAATTGGGATATTTTTTTCAAAATCCCATAGGATGGGTCAAAAGCTCGACCAATGCGCTGTCATAGGTGATGCATTGACGGATTGCATTGAATCCATTGTAGTAAATTTTGGTACAACTGAACTTCGAGCTGACTTAACCGATAAGGTGAATTAACTGTAAATCAAAATATTTTAAATTTAAATTTTAGTTATTTTTTGGGATCACGAGGGATTGATTTTTTATGGATACTTTAGTCTTAGCATTGATGACTTATCTTTGATCAAATTAAAGAGAAGATTAATTCAGGTGCACGTAATGTTTCGAATTTGAATTTTAGTAATTTTTTGAGATTATGAAGAATTTATTTCTCATGAATACCTTAATTTTAGTGTGGATAGATTACCTTTGACCAAATCGAAAAGAAGATTAATTAAGGTGCACATAAATTGGCTCAAACATTTCAAACCGTAAAACTAAAAAAAAACAAAAAAAAGGGATTGGTACGGTACTACTACTTTTTCTTATAGGATTAGTCGATTGGGTTTTGATACATGGGATGAGAATTTGGAGGGGTTTTGATGGGCAGTCGATCACGTGACTTTTGTAGGTTTTGTTTACTTGAAAAACTTTCCCTCTCTAATAAATTTTATTTTATTATTATAATATATATGTTTACTCTTATTATTTTATGCCATATAGCCTATATAACTATCTCACATTTGAACTTTTCAATGTCTTTATTAAATCCGTCACATCTATATTTTTTTAAAACATCAATTTAGTATATTAATAAACCAGTTATTCCTCGTGTCTGAAGACACGAAATGATAAAAAAAATAATCAACAATAAACATATTTGTATTTACACCTAAAATCAAATCACAAACATAGAGCAGATATAAATAAATTTAAGCACTAATTGTAGTGGGGGTGAATGGTGATAATGGTGGTGGGCAACAGTGGTTATGGTGAGAGACAGTGATGATTGTAGTGGATGACGACGATCGTGGTGGTGATGGCAGCCATGAATGACAACAATGATAGTGGTGGTGCTTTTTGGGTGACGATTGTGGCAGTGGCAATCATGGGTGACAGTGGTGGTGTTGGAGCGACAACGGTGGTCGGTGATGATGGTGGTGGTGGGCGACGATGGGTGCTTCTAGGCGACAATGTGATGAGTGGTGGCGAATGACGGAGGTGGAAAGTGTGGTGGGGCTAGGTGACAATGGAGTGACTGCAGTGGTGGGCGATGATGGGTGATGGGGGTGTGTGACAATGGCTAGTAGCGATGGTGGGCAACGACAGGTAGTGGTGGATTGTGGTAGTGGGTGACAATAGGCAATAATAGTGGTGGTAGGTGCTGATGGTAGGCGACAGTGGTAATGAGATGATGATGATAATGATAATGAATATAAGAATAAGATGATGATGGTTGTGGCGGGGGATGACAATGGTAGCAATTGATGGTGGGTGACAATGGTGGTGGTGGTGGTGGCGGCGACAGTAAGGGTAGAGTGGGGTGAGGTGGGGCAGTGGCAGTAATAAAGGTGACGGTGGTGGGTTGGCAATAATGTTGGTAGTTGTGATGGTCATGGTGGGGCGCTGGGGGTGGTAGGGGTGATGGTGGAGTGCGACAGTTGTGGTGATGATGGTAGGGTGTGGCAATGGTGGTGATAGGGATAGTGGTAGTGGAATGATGGAAGTGGTGGGGCGGTGGGTATGGTAGGGTAGCGATAATGGTGGTGCCGGCGACGATGGTGGTGGGGCGATGAGGATAGTAATGGTGGTGGTAGTAGAAATAGTGGTGGGATAGTTTCAAACACTATTTTTTTTTTTAACGTACTTATAAGAAATAATTCTTAGAAGTATTTTTAAAAAATTACTCCAAATACACCCTTAGAGGTTTATTTTTCCTATTAAATTTGAGGTGTTAATATTAGTCGTCAGATTAACTTAAAAATAAAATTTAAAAAGATCTCAACCGCGAATAGTAAAAATTATTTTGTTTATCTTTTGAAATTTGAATTGTATTATATTTTATTATATAAATACTTATTTAATAAAATTAGCATGGGGTACTCTCGGGTGTGGCAGTGAACGGGATTAGGGATGACGATGAATAAATATTATAAATTTTGTGTATCGTACACAAAGGGAACGGAGATTTTATAGTTAATCAAATTCATTGTTAATATACAATTTACATTTATTGTCGGATTACGAGATTTTTATTAAACGAAACCCTTTTAATCCATTTTTTTTTTATGTTATAATACATACGGGGGAGGGTGACCAATGAGAATAAAACAACGCATTTTTTGGGCAAGGTGAGAATGACACTTGCCACCGAGTCAAATCCATTGACAAGAAGAGATTCAATTAACAAATTTCTTCCAAATAATGTCATTTTTGTTATTGATGGTGGTGGGGACATGGAGCAGCCATACACTCCAGTTACATTTGACTTTTCAAGTGACTTTTTTGAATATTATTGTTTTGTAGTTAGCGATACCATGTATCACTGATACCTTAATATCATTGTTACACTAAATATTTACTCGATAAATCACACCCTATGTTGCGTGTTAGATCTGTTAAGATGTTACTTGTAATCACAAAGTATACTAAACTTGTTAAAAATTAAATGACAATAATGAACTAGATCGGGATTAATGAAAGATTAATACCGGGGGTTTGTTCGAAAATTATGGTGCAATCTACTTCTTTACATCAATGGAGAGTTGTGGTAAGAATGGGTTATGTAGTGTCGTAATTCATGTTGTAGTTAAGTAATATTGGATAAAAATTTGTTCAACTTATACACAACTCATCCCAATCATGTATATTTAAATTTGAGGCATGTCACATTCTTGTCGATTTTATCCTAATTTGTGTGATTTATAATCATTTATTGAGAGAGTTTGACGAGTCAACCTGGTGTGATCTGAATCTATGAATACTAAACTTACGCCTAATAATGTTGTATCGATGTAGACTGATTCCCGTTGAGAATTATCCAATCTTGTGGAAAACAAGGTTTGTCTCTTGGTGCCTCCCTCTCCCAATCACACAAAGTCAAGTTTTCACGTCCCTCTCAATCCCTCTGGGTCTCTTTGTGCCACCAGTTCTAGTGATGGACTAATCTATATATGGTACATATATCTTGTGTGCCACCAGTTCTAGTGATGGACTAAGCTGTGCGAAATACTAGTCAGAACCCTTAAGGGTGGTTCATGGTTGAATTTAACCTTTAGTAATCAACAAAATTCACGTTTAATTCCTTCCCACACCCCTTAAAAACTAGTCATCCTTGTTTCTAAGAAACATGCTCTAACCTAGCCTAAGTCACGGTGGTCAGCCGTTGAGGTCAAGAAAATATTTAAAGTAAGTCTAAACACACCCTATAATGAAAAAAAAAAAAATACTACTCACCTTAGACTATTTTTGTGCAATACTTGTCACATAGAGTGTAATAACTACCATATACCATAGTCTTTGTGTCACTATTAAATCAGTTTAAGTATCATGACTCAAAAAACTAATTATTCATATCTTTTTCACTTCTTCCTAACTGTAATAAAATTCACTTTCTAGAAGCATATCCTACAGGGACCAAAACCATAAGAGAGAGTCTGCACACAAGGGTAAGACAACGCACATTTGACTCTCCAGATTATGCAATAGTGATAGAGCCTTGTGTACTAAAGTCTTGAAAAAGGATTGTGAGCCCAGAGCCTATTAAGTAGATGTTCAGCACTATCAAATGGGAAGAACAAATATGGCGGGGAAAAAAAACCAATTCCCAGCTGATTTCATTTGTTAAAACATGATCTAAATTGCACACTTAAACTTCTATAACTATAATACAAACAGACAAGATGACTATAGACGACCGTAAAAAATAGAGAAGAGCATAGTTGCCTACATGTACAATGCTAATGTCAGACCTCAGTGTGAGAGAAATAGAATTGGGATCTTCATCTTGCCAAAGAAGTCAACAAAAGTGAGACCAATATCAGCAAACAAGCACGGACCAAAGGTCGTTCTCTAGGACGCGACTTTGGATTTCCAGCTGCAAATTTTCATTCTCGTCACCTAGTCCCAGATTGATTATTTTGCCGAGTAATTAGACATGTCTATGTCAATGAGTGATAGGTCATAGGGCACAGATAGAGAATTTGAGGTATCCCTTAGCAAGGAAGAGTTCATTGCCTCTGATTTTGCAGAATTAGGCGTTGTGCTAGGAAAATGAGTGTTATTACCAGAAGATGAAAGACTAGAAACCTGTGTATCGTCCAACTTGTTTCCAAACATGTGCTTGTTTCGCCTAACAGTATCCATTTCAGCGCCAGTTGGAACAAAGGTCCGTGCACGGTATTTCCTCGCTCCCTCGTCACCCTCACTGTGATTGTAGAGTACATAGTCGTGATAAGTTGGTGCAAACTGCAGGAGGGAAACAAGAAAACAATTATAAGGACAGGAGGCATGGGACAAAAAGAGATCATGGCACTCTATAGAATCCAGCAACCAGAGTGAGAAAATAAGCATGATTACAAGACGACCTGGTGGACTGTGTCATGGTAGAAATCATTTAACTTCAGAGCATGTGCAAGGCTTGCTGTAAACTCACGAGAGCCACCAATATTTGCGCCAGCGTATTCTTTGTACGGAAATGCATAAAGATGACCAACAGCAGCCATAAGCATCTCAACGCAAATAATAAAATTTTGGAACTCAGCAGCTTCCCTTGTGTCTTTTATAAATCCAGACTTGGCAGCAAGAAAAATCAGAACACCCTGTAAAACAAAGGAAACAATGAGATGGACACTGGAAGATCTTGTAAGCATGATGCATCTTTCAACACAAAGTCCAATCCGGATACATGTGCACAATCAGATTTTATGCAACTCAAACTCAGCTAGACATACTCAGTGATCTACATAACCCAGTAAATAATAGCAATGATATTAAGACACCACCATAAACACATTTGAATTATCCTTTGACAAATATAAGGCTGCAAAATTCAAATATACAATCTTTAAGCATGAGCACGCATCTAGGTCTTTAAGTTGAAGGGACCTTCTGTCCTTGTCGTTGAGAAAAATATCCAGCAGCTACCTTATTTAAAAAAAAAAAAATGCCGGCGTAGATAGAATGCTTGCCCGTGATCAAATTACCAATCATTTCATCTTGTTTATTCCAACAAAGAAAAAGAAAAAGAAAATCAACATTCCTCTCCTGAAATCTCTTACCCACTAAAAGATAGGTAAACATGAATCTCTAAAACTACATCTACTCCCTCCATAGATTATTGGTACACCACACCTGTCTCTTGCGTTAGTGACCATCACTTAGAGGATGCAAAACATCATACCTACAAACCAAACTAAAAATTAAAGGCACTACCATTTCCATTCTTGCTGCCACTAGCATTGTCAACCACAGTAATGTGTTACCAGCACATTACCAGCTCCAGTGATCAACAAAGGCTTCACACTCAAGAAAAACCATCAAATTTCCAATCCGTATTGCCATGAACCTGTAACCATTTAAACCTAAGCACCACCATGCTTGCTGAACCACAACCAATTTTTATTGCTTTCCACCAAGGACAATCTAGAACCATTGAACTCTTAATATGCGATGTTGAGACTGCTTGGTAGGAATCAGGAAAGTTTGAATATGTGGCAGCAGTTCAAAAAAACCCTACGTGACAGCCACGATCACAGATAACAGACGAAGATGACAATTATGGTAGTAGCAATTGCAATAGCGATTAGCTCACTTTGAATCTACCATTGTTTGAAGAATCAAAACAAGGATCAACTGATTAATGATTATACAGGTGACTGACGAACATGGTAATTTCAGCAATTGTTTCAACACAAGCAAAAGCTATGGTGGTAGGTATTTGTCATGTGTGGTTACAAAATGGTGTTGGATGCATCGGCCTTGAGGTTCGAGTGGAGAAATAGTCATCAAATGACTGTCATTGTGTTGGTGGATAGCAAGGCTATGATCTGAAATTGTGGTGGTGATTTGAGGATAATGGAAACAGATGATGTACACTCAAGAAGAATGAGGGTCTCAGAATTATAAGAGCAATAATGGTCAAATTTAAAATGATTATGTCAGCGTTCTGCACAGATGGTGGATTGGCTAAAGTTGAATTGTTGTGCATCTCTCATGGTTGCTCCGACAGGTTAGCTAATGATGCAGTGAAGTGCAGAAGATCTTGAGATTTTTCTGGGGATGTGCAGTTACCTTGTGAGGTGAAGCTGGCTTTGCTGGGTGATTCGAAGGGTTTGCCTGTGCCAAGAAAGAAAAGGGCTATGGTGTTTGACGATATGGGTTAATGGGTTTTAGGCTGGGATAAATTGTTCCAGTATTATGTCTTTTGGAGATGCTTCTGTGATGGTCAGGGATGGTTTTTTTTCTGGAAGGAGTTTTGTTCTGTTTTGTTGCTGCTAGAGGCTGGATGCTCCTGAAGCCGACTGTTTGGTTGAGTTCTTTTTCTGGTGTATGCTATTTTGTTTTCTTGTTAAGGAAAGGTGTCTTTGTGCCTTTTCTTTTGCTGCATGTAATGCTTTTTTGCATTTGTGAATAAATAAAATTATTGTTTTAAAAAAAAAGGATGTATTAGGCACTGTTTTATGAGTTAATATATGTATTGTCATATAATCATGTGAATATGGTTTATCAAGAATTAAAATAAATGTAAAATATATTACATAAAATAAAACGGCTACTAAACATATTTTTTGTTTTAGTTTTTAGATTTCGTAAAATAACAACTACATCTAAACAGGTTTTTTGTTTCAACCTTTAACCACACAAAAAAATAAAACATTGATTCTGTTTTTTATCTTTTTGAAAACATAAAAACGAAAACATTACCAAACACACCCTAAAATAATGTCATAAAGCAAGGCAAACTTTACACTTCAAAATTGAAATAGAGCACTTCAAATTTCCATATATTTCTGAAAATAAAAATGAAGTGGCAAGAATCCTACCTGCCAATATGTAAGAAAAACAACAGACTTGATTATGATAAACTTTGGAACTGGGTTGAATGGCTGAAGCAAGTCTCTGCATGCCACGTAAAACAAGGCCAAGGCATAGAGTGCCAGTGAGTATGAGATCATATAGATAATGGTGAGATAAAGGTACGATTGGCCCGGATTAAAATTTCCATCTTCATATTTCCCTTTTGCATAAAGTATGAATGTCACAGCAACTAATATGGGCTTGAGAATCACAAACTGCAAACAACCTTGTTTGCACCTTCGTATAAAGCGCCTGCACAGCTTTACCAGTGTCACAAATGCAGTTCACCTGATATAAAAAAAAGGGATGCAAACTCTAATGTGCAGACACTTGAATGAAATCGTAGCATAGATCTTCACATTTACCCTAGAAAGGTAAAAAAGTTCTAAACTTAAAGGCCTTCAAAAGGCACAAAAAACCAGACTTTCGGTGTGCACTGGTCAAACTGTTTTCCCATTCTGCACAAATATCAAGGGCAGTGCTAATAATCCCACCATAACCCACAAGTGGTAAAAAGACAATCGGGAAATAAATAAAAATGTACTTTACATGACAAGGAGGAAATAATAAATAGAATTTCAATGAGTTCCACAATCTATTTCAATCGTTTCCTTTGGAATTCAGTCTCAAACAAACTACTCTTGGATTTCAAATTAACAGAAGCCCTCAGCTCAAACAAAACAAAACTTGCTGTAATGTAGGTAACTCACCCATCCAATGGAATTGGTGGGAAACAACATGTCATTAAACACCAATTTGGCTTCAGAATCCGACCAGTCAGACTTAACACAACAGCTCCTGGGCCACCTACCCATGCCAAGCACAACGATAGGAAATTATAGATGACCCAAGCTTCATATCTAAAAACAGGAAAAGGAAAAATCAACACATGAATGCAGAGAACCAAAGAAAAGCAAACAAACATGTCATGACATGATTACTAATATCAAGCTAATCTAGCAAGTGCACTTGACACTAAAGCACTAATTAAAGTTATCATAAACTTATGGAACAAACGAAGATAGTGCATTTCAGACAAAAAACAAGGAAAACTATAAGTGATATAGGCAACCCCCAACAATCCAATGGTCAGAAATGGTGGTGATCACACAGGAAAGCTATTTTCCAAGTCAACTGCTGGAAAAACCAGCCAGAATGAGATGGAAAGCATGCACTGTGCACAATGGATGCAGAAGAAAAATATCTTCAACAAACAAATTTGCAAGACTCATTGAGCCAATCACATTATATATAAAAGCAGCAGCCCTTCAAGCAAAAAAATAAATATAACAAGTACTTGATGTCAGAACAAGAAGCAAAACATTACTTGAGACACAGACATCGCATGGACCTCTTACACAGACCATAAAATTTAAAGGATGAGAACATGTTAAAATCAATATTTGATGTACTTCAACCTACAAAAGAACTATAATCTGATGTACACCTTCTAGCACAAAATATTTTGATTTCACAACAAATACACCAGATGCTCTTCAATTAATTAACTCATTTATAAGTATTCTCCAAACATACATCGTGCCTTCACTCAAAGAATTCAAAAACCGCTTTCTTGATAAATTGCAAATGAATGATATCGCTAGACATCAACTGCATTCAGAAGCAGAGAGAGCAAGGGGCCAGAGGGNTCTCCAAACATACATCGTGCCTTCACTCAAAGAATTCAAAAACCGCTTTCTTGATAAATTGCAAATGCATGATATCGCTAGACATCAACTGCATTCAGAAGCAGAGAGAGCAAGGGGCCAGAGGGTGGCTGGCTGAAACAAAAAAAATTAATATGTATATTTTGTATATTTTTTTGGATATCTTCAATTAGGCCCACCCTAATAACTTAAAAAAAAAACTGCTTTCATTCTTTGGCCAAAATAAAAAAAGAGTACGGGTCATATCAAATCTCTTGGAATCAACAANGGTGGCTGGCTGAAACAAAAAAAATTAATATGTATATTTTGTATATTTTTTTGGATATCTTCAATTAGGCCCACCCTAATAACTTAAAAAAAAAACTGCTTTCATTCTTTGGCCAAAATAAAAAAAGAGTACGGGTCATATCAAATCTCTTGGAATCAACAATAAAAAAAAAGCAATAATATTTGGACCAAATTTATTAATCTAATTTGCTGACCTAACCATTGGATTGATAGTAAACCCTAATATTTGTTGGATTGGAACCTACAACCAATTCAATGACGGACCTAATCATTCATAACCATTGGATTGACAATAGACCCCAATATTTGTTGAAACCAACAACCAATTCAATGGTTGTGACGGATTTGGTCAACAATTTAGGCTCAAATAGCATTATTGATTAAAAAAAAGTTGAGTCAAAAAAAACCCTTGCCCACTCCATTGTCATTTTCGATGGCATTGATAATAAAGTTATCATGAAACATTTTCAAAGTATGAAGACTTGTCGGAGTCAATTATAAATGACTATAATTAGCCTCATCTTTTTGTAAAGGGTTATAATTAACAATTTTTTATTTATTTTTTGTTTAAATAGATTATGTATACTGGCTTTTGATCTTTTTATGTTTAATGAATCTTTACAGCTTATGGTTATGTTTAAGTATTATGCTACAGGGTGTCCAGGTTTTAAGTATTAAATATGATATAAAAACATAAATGTATAATCATTATTTTTATCTATTAGAGGATAAAATAAAACTTGTGGTTAAGTGTGCTCGCCCTAAAACATATTACTGGCTCCGCCATTGACCGCATTTTCACTGTTTTTCCAGAACACTTAGCTTGAAACCACACCTACCCGTTTGCCAATCCTTTCTACTTTTTTAATCCTCTTTGAACTAATAGTGATATCACAGTCACAATTTTAAACGCAAATCAGAGTATAAGAACTTAAACTAGTGCAATCACCATTGTTTCAAAATCAAATTATGAAAGGCAAGACATTATACTAACAATACAAAGTTGCAAGAAGACATAAATGTAAAGAATAGGTAAAACATATGACTTAATTATAATATACTTACACTTCCCGAAAGGAATTAAAATAGATTGAGCTCTCGTTCAAGACGAGGGATAAGAAAGACATTAATGCATAAACCTGCCAGTAAAACAAATTGTAAAATGGTTACAAAAATATCATGAAAATTAAACAGCATGATGACTATGAATCTCATAGTGTTTCTGTTTGCAGGTTCAGCACCAATGGAATTTCAAAGAAGTAAAAGAAAAATACAAAATAAAGCCTTGAAAGAATACAAAATAAAGAAGAAGTGACAACAGAGAATGAGCATTGAATGCTTAAGCCATAAGAAAGACAATTCAAGACATGCCAAGCGCGTCCATACATCAATGAGATCTGCAGTTAACAATATCAGTTACTGTCTTCACTCTGCCCCAAATAAAAGTGAAACAGTCTCAGATCAATCCACAAGCTCAGCTCACGTAAGCCAACTCACTTCTTCAAAAATGTTGTAAAAGTTGTATCAAAAAGCATGGGCATGGCCTTCAAATTCAATTAAACAA